CCTCTTTGCCATTTGCCACCAACAGCATCACTGGGAGCTGCCCCTGGGCATCCATCTAGCCCTAAAAATCCCAAGCAACCGTGGTCTGCCTTGGCTCATGGAAACAGGGCTTGTCTCTGGATGGATCCCATGGAGAGGGTGAGGGCAGGATGTCTCTCCCACCAGGGGGAACAGCACCCCATGGGCAATCCCCTTGCTCGGCTGGACCGTACCTCACTTCCTTATCACTTCACGCAGTAGCTTGTCTTGGATTTGATGTTCTAGAAACTGCTGCTGTAACTGCAAGTCTTATACTGGAGGCTGTGTTTTTATACTGTATTTTTGTACCACTTTTTTAGAAGTATTGGTAAAGAGTTTGCTTTTTTATATATATATATAAAAACTTTTTTTTTTAGGTTTCCTGCTGTGGGGGAGGGCTCAGTCCTGCTGCACTTTAGGGAGATCAGGAAGGGACTGGCTCCTGCCAGACCCTCGAGCTGAGTCCTTGTGGAGGTCATTTACCCCCTTGCAGCTCTCCTAACCACCCATTTGCAATAACAAGGGATTTTATCCCTTTCCCATCCTTGTGATGAGCATCCTTGTGACCCCTTTTCCCACCCTTGTGAGTACTCCTTCACCAGCAGCTACTTAAAATCCCCAGTGAAGCTTTGGGCTTTGCAGGGAGCCTGGCTGGAAGGGGCACGTTGGGTGTGTGGGGGGCTGAGCTGCCTTTGAGGCTTTCCCCCTGCCTGTGCCCTCCTGCTGCCCAACCTGTGGAGGGGTACATGGATGGCAGAGTCCCCTGTCCCCTCCCAGGGGTGCTGGCAGGGATGGTCCTGCAGGATGGCACCCTCGGGTCCCTGCTGACCTGCTGAGAACTGTTAGAGTTAACACTGTGGTCGGATTTAGCACTTTCTTCATTACCTCACACTTCATAAATAAATAAGTTTGCAACAGCCTGGGTTGACTTTTTCCATGCAGGTGACTGGGTTTCCATGCATCACACCATGATGCTTCAGGGGGGGCCTGGGCTGCTCCCTGTGTTTTGGGGTATCCCACACATGAATAGGAGTTAATATATTTGACACCAGAGCTTGGCTGCACCAAGACTGAACTCTTTGTCCTGGTTTTCTTCCAGCGATCGAAGAAGTGTTCACGGTGGTGGGGCCAGGGAAACAAATCACCTGGATTATTTTTCCTCCTTTTAAGTGGTTTTATTGGCAAGGAGGGGCAGAGAGCTCAGGCTGGGCTTGGAAAAGGCTTTGGTGTAACTGTAAACCCCCTTAATGGGGTTTGGGGCAGGTGGTGTGGGGTGATTGCTGCCCCACAGGTCAGGGGCTGTGGCTGTGGTTGGCAGTAACCCTATAGGGAGGGGGGGAATGCAATCCACTTGCTTCCAGGGGCATCAGAGAACTCCATATCCCAGATCTGCCAAGTGGATGAAATTATATATATGTGTGTTCTCCCTGCCACCCCCAAACTCGATGCGTTTGGGTTTCCTTTGTCCTGGCAGCAAAAGTCTTACTCTAAATGCAGGAGGGACACAGGATCTTGTTACTGCTGAGGAGCCAGGAGAGAGGAGCTGCTGCTGGAGACTTGATCACCCCGGGGGAAACCAGCTTTAAACAGCAATGATTCCACACAGAAGCCCTTAAACACCCTTCAGTTCTGGCAACATCTCTCTCTCTTTCAGCATGTTGCATCATGCAGTGTCCCAGCCTTTGAGAGCTGCATTAGAAGGTGCTCCCATGAACCACAGCTTAACCAGGGAGCAGAGTGACCTAAATCTGACACCTCGCCCATGCGCAGCAAACAAAGCCCAGATGTACCACCCCTCAAACGGTTATTTTTGTTGTGTGTACACTCACACTTGCAGCCTGGTGTCTTTTTTCAGCTCAAGGTGACCCTCCCGAGGAGGTTTTTACTTTCTTTTCATGCTGAAGGGACGTAGGAGGTTTAAAATGTTAATTATCTCTCTCGTAAGTGATGAGCAGATCCACAGACTGAGCTGAGACCATCACCAGTGGGAGATGTAGTTGGTCCCAAATCAAACTGAAGAACTGAGTTGCTGTTTGCACACAGCTTTGAGTTCTCCTGCCTAAGGCTTGCATACATATGTATCTACCTGAAGCTTCCCTGGTTACTAGAGCAGGTGTCTCCTCTCACATTGCCACTGCCAGGATGAGGAAAAGAGAGTGACAGCACTATGAAGTGAACAGAACACACAGGGCTTTCCTCCTGCTTGTTCAGTGCACGTTTTGCAAGTGTCAGCTGTAATCATCACAGTTCAGCATTTCCAGGCATGAATTGGTTATTTCTTTAATGCACGCTGCCCTGCTCCTTGCTGTACCCCCCAAAACCACCTCTGCTCACCCACCACAGCTTCCCTCCCTCCCGTGCCAGTCCCCACACCGACCCTGGCAGTGTCGTGGGCGCGATGCCTTCACGCCTGGGCTGGCAAATTTTTAGGACAGTTTC